AATCCTCACATGAAGGACAGGTGAGAGGGTGCAGCAGATCAGCGCAAAAACCAGAGGCATCATCCACTTGATGACGCTACCATCGATCCTCGCTCCGATCAACACAGATGTGGTCGACATCCACCTAAAGACGAGGGGTGCTGCACTCTGCCTTCACCTCCAAACAGCACCAGACTGGGGAGAGACAGTCAGATGCACCTTGAGGGCAGACAGATTAGTTCATCGACTTGTCTGGGGTTGTTCACTGAAATAATATGATAATGTTTATGAAGTGAAAGTAGCGCAGAGATTTACTGCAGAGTTCGACTGTCCTAGGAGTGTGATGTGCAGTGGTTTGACAGTAGTCTGGGGAAGGTTTATACGCTGTACCTGACAGAGACTGAGGCTTAAACTATGTTTAATTAAACAAGCGATTGTCTTGATGGCCGTCAGGGGGCATTCACACCAACAGTGATAGACAGCACACGATTTAGGCGGCGGCGGCAAAATTAGAGCTTTGGATGTGACGTGGATGAAACAAAAGTAGGGGCTTCTAGGGGCACAACAAGTGTGTGCCCCTAGAAGCTATGTTACAGGTGTTCAAGACTTTTTTCCCCCACCTTTCTCTTTTGGTGTGAATGCAGCCTAAGCCAGTGAGGAACCTTTACACCATGGAGAAGTAATACCGTTTCAGAGACAGGATTATTAAAAAAAAAAAAAGAAATAGACCTAAGGACTCTCATTTATAGTGTTGAGAATAAAATAATATTTAAAAAGATAAATTCACCCAGAGCTAATGGGTATTAAAATATATTTAGTTGTTAGTTCATAAAAACTCTACAGAATGCTGTGTATTGAAAACAAACACTACATTAATTTGCAAGGAAGAAACGCTGCCCTAGTTTGTCTCTTTCAGGAACTGTCCTCCTTATTACTTCACACTGCCATGCATCAACCTGACAGCTACTGTGTTTCCATACGAGCCGTCAGCAGTAGTTAGAGGAGCCTGTTAAACACAGTAAAAATAAAGGCTGTTGGAAAACAAGTGAATTGTGTTAATTAGTTTGTGATAATTAACCTGATTAAAATCTTTCTGCATTTCAACCCATGGGCAGAACGACATGCACCATTAGCTCACTGTCCATTCACATGCTCTAATAAATAGTCAATACCAAAGTTCTGTGGAGACTTCAACTCCAGGTCAGATGCTCTACTGTATCACACCAGTCTGATTAATACTGTTGACGTCAGGGGCTTCACCAAAGCAACCATAACGCACCTTCATCAATGAAATCCATTTTTTATTTTCATTTTTCCATATAATAATTCCATTATTTGAAACTCAAACACATGCTATCAACAGCTGTTATTTGTCTTTCTGTTCGAAAATATCTTCTTTTTTTTCAAATTTACTGTAGGAAAATTGCTTAATCTTGGTTAATCATGAATAATTAACAATTAACCACAATATATCCTGATTAATCCATAACTACGTTGTAATTCATCTATTTCAAAAACCCCAACTGACTGACAGCCCAAGTTAAAATACAAAATAAAACATCAGTGATGATTAAATTAACAATACAGTGTCATCTTAATATTTTAGATAATGCAGAACAGTCATTGAAAAGAATTAAAATTCAAACAATGTCCGACCCCGCGTTGTGACCCCGCCTACCCACTCTGTCATCAATGACAACTCTCCCAAAGTTTGGTTTCAGTGACTCCAGAAACTGAGACAACATATAACTCGCTATCATAAAGCTGACCTTTGGCCTGTTTGGTCAACAACTCTGCAGTGAGTAAATCTACTCCAACGCTGAGAGCAGGAGTTTTACCGCCAACAAGCCAGGATTCTTTAGACCATTATTTCCTGTAAAACTCCCAGTGAGGCTGACATTTCAGTTAACACCACACACCACAAAGGTTTCCAGCCTGGACATGCTGTCAGGATGAACAGAGGGGATTTCACCAATGGAGGATCCCATTGTGAAGGACAGCACACACCTGCTGCATCCACTGTGTGATGTTGTACCTGAGGCTAGAAGAATCAGAGCACCACCTGTGGATCAAAGTACCCGCAACTGTAGTACAAATACTCTTCTCTCTGTCAAATGTCCACAACAGAGACTTCTCTGCCAAAACTGCCTTCACGGCTGCTGTCTGTGTTGGAGGAGCCCGTGAGGCAGTGGTGGATTTTTTTAAAATGGGTTCAAACTCAGGACATGTTACGATCTTACTATATTTACACTAACTGTAAAGCTGCAACACTTGCACTGCTCAGCTTCTCGCAGGGCAGGTATCCATTAAGTTGACAAGAGCTGCACATTATCAATTGAGTCACACAGCTCTTGTAACACACAGAGGACGTCAACCTATAATCAAGTAGGTGATGGAGAGAGGTCACTGTAGGAATTAGCAGCTTGACTAAATTACTATTTCCCTTCAAAACGCCAAGCTGTGGTCAGAAACCGGCAGCAGACAAAACATGCAATCACACGTGGCACTTAAGGTCCACTGGGGAAAAGAAAGAACATCAGTGATATTTAATGTGGGAGGCCGAGAGCAACGCTCAGCTGGGACACCTCATGAATGGGAGAGCTGCTACAACTGCGGATGAGAGGAATGGGCTGCTAATGGATCTTGAAGTGAAGAAGTGCTTTGGAAACATCCTTTAAAAGCTGCATTCATGTTCAGCCATCTGCTGTTCAGTCGTAGCAGGATATTCCAGAGCCTCGATGTGACAGACTCCGAAGACTACAACATTATCTGGGTTAGACAAGATTTAAAAAAAAAAAAAAAAAAAATGTTAATAGGCTGGTTTACTTTACACTAACCTTTGCTGTTGGAGCTTATTTCTTTAAGGAAGTGAAAAATAATGTGCTTGATGTTGTTAAGCACTAGAACACCAAATGAGTCGTTTCCCTCACAGTTGTATTAGAAATGACCACAGTCTGGTTACAACACCTTTCCCTCATTTAGAATTCGGAAGGCCTTTTTTCATTTTCTTGAAATCAACATGACTTAAAGCAGCAGACATTTTTTTCATGAGGCCTTTTTTAAATAAATAAAATATATTAAAATTCAGTTGATGCTGATGACACTCTCTGACACTGTCTATAATAAGGAGAATAATTAGCTCACTCTTTGCACTTCTATTGTCAGACTAAAGTGTGTTAAGGTAATTGCAGAAAAAGGACAAATGTGCACAAATTCATACACAGAGACAACGCTGTGAGTTTTTTCCCAGGAATCAATGACGGAGTATCTCGGTCATTAACATAACCATAGGTTTGACACTAGATGAATATCTAGAATGAATATCTTCGATAATAAGACTTCTGCATCTACTGCAACAGTTGTCTGCTATTTCATCTTCAGATTGTGAATCCTTGTTGGATAAAAACACAGGAAACAACCAAGTTAACTTTGCCTTTTTGTTTCCCTTTAAGCTGGAAGATATTTTTTAGAACTTCTCATCGACACTGGGTATTTGCGAAATGCACCATATTCCTATGATCAGGCAGACGGCTTAGAGTGATGGTTTTAACGCCTGTGATGGTGTCTGTGACACTGCCCGGGTGAATGAAGTCCATCTGGGATTGGACAGGGCTTCTGTGAATGGAGAAGAGGGGAGTGCTATTCAGCACCACAGACAGCTCAACACAGTCAAAGAGATCTCCTTTAGATCGGCTAAATTTAGAGCTTGTAGCACCATAGACAGTTCCAAACTGTGCCGGCACTGCTTCAGGTTTAAAAAGACAATTCAGATTCATGGTTGGCTTCAGGTTATGTTAAAGCTCTCTAATAGGTGGAAACATAGACCATTCAGCACCATGGACAGTTCCACATGACCCTGAAGCTCTCCTCCTGCTTTAGGCATTGGCTGTTTAGTAGAACTGGACAGAAGAATGCATTTGCAAGCTTTGGCTGTAGAGTTGCTCCTAATAACAATGTTATTTCACAACATATTTAAAACATCGGTTAAAATTCTCCTGATTAGGATGCTCTATATAGAAAATTGATATGAAGATGACAGATGTCAAGACGATACTGAACGTCAACGACGAGGCTACAGGGCTAAGCTCCTTTTGGACAATCATGTTGTCAATAACACACAGTGTATAATAATACTCACCTTCCCACTTTATTTCAATCATCAATTTCCTCTCTGTCCAGTGACTTACACAACAAGATAATAATAACAGAAGAAAACCCAAAACCTGCAGTTGAGACAAAGATTTGTCAGAGGAGACAGTTACTTCTAGCGTTCTTCTCCAGTCTCAACGTCACATTAGCAGGTCTTGCCTTGGTCCTAATACCAGTATATGGTCTGGGACCGTAGCCTTGCCTCTCCTGGACACACACAACAGCCCACTTTGAGCCTGGCTAAAATGAGGCCTACGTGCAGGTCTAATGGTGAGCAAACACAAGTTGAGGCGTGAAAGCCTTTCTGCAACATTAAGCAGGAAAAACACCTCTTGACTTAAACGAAACATTCTCCGTATGGAGTGGACAGGCATGATGAACACTTGGCCCACTTTGATGACACACACAACGTTGTGTGCACAGGCCTGCAGTCTCCTTACGGCTCATTAAAACATTGAGCTCTAACGCTGAGCCAAGTCTAACAAGCTTGTGTGGGTTATCGATTGTTGATCAGGCGGATTATGAGCCAAAGCAGCACGAGACGACCCTTCAGTGTCACTGAGCACCAATGTAACGGAAGGCACAGAACGAAGAGTGTGGAAGAAGCAGCTCTGGTTGGTGAAAAAGACCTTAAGGCAAGGCCTCCATCTGCACATTAGCACGGGGCCTAAACACAATGAGAAGATGAATGAACATGAGGCCCGGAGTCTCCTTGAATCTGTCATCCGTCTCCATGGTGACAGAAGGAGGAGGAGGGGGTGGAGGAGGAGGACCAAAACTGGCATCAATCGGGGCCCAAATCAACAGATGGCAACCACATCAACACCACCAACCCCGCCACCATCACTACCGACCCAGGGAGGCTGCCTTACCTTGCACTGATCCATGCACGTCCTCACTGAGTATGGCCCCGGCTCATATTTCTGAGTCAGGAGCTCAAAGTCCTCGTACTTCTCCTGGGCGTGCTGGTCGTAACGCTGGTACGCCTGCACGCACAGGCTGCACCTGGTCGTGTCACCGTCGTCGAGCACGTCGAGGCTGCAGTTCAAATTGTCCGGACTGGTGGAGGTGTCGAGCAAATCCAGCAGAGAGTAGGAGTTACAAAAAGAGAGGTACAAATCGCTCATATTTACAGCCCGCGTCCCCTCTCTGACGGAAAGGCCCTTGCACAAATGGTCGGCATCTGCGAAAGCGAAGCAGCTCCGAGATAAAGTGTCCCGGTGGCAAGTTTCGAGGCGCCACAAATGTTTGGTAGAGTTTCCTATAAAAATAGCATCTGGGTTTCCTCTGAGGCTGCTGTGTGCTGAGTGGGTGTGGGGTGAGAGGAGGTGGGAGGATGCAAACTTGTCCCGGGTGCGGGCCAGATTGGCCTCGGCGCAGAACCACAGGTGATCAGAGAGGAGGATGGTTAAGAAGAGGAGGGATGCCAAGGACAGTCGCCATCTCTGCGCCCTCTCTGAGTCGGTGAATGGCTTTTGGTGGTCGCGGGCGGGCTCTAGCCAGATTTGGAAGCCGTCGTCATCTTCTTGCTGCCAACACGTCCCAGCACCCCTGGTCATATTTTGGGAACCGGCCGACTCCACCGTGGGGGCTCCTCTGCCGCAACAGTCATTGACGTGGGGTCCGCTTCGCGTTTTCCTCCTCTCGGGTGTCGGGCGGTGGGTTGTCCCGGCTTACCTTTGCGTTCAGCGGCTATTCCCATCCAAAAGAGCGTGGGTCGGGTGAGGAATCAGGCGCAGGCGACCACGGGCCGCATCCTCCATGGCTGAGCGGTGAAACCGCTGTCCTCCGTCCGCTCCTCTGCGCAGCCTCGACTCCCGTTTTCACAAACACTCACCGACGCCTTGACGTTTTCCCCGGCCTTTGTGGTGCAGGGACAAAGGCGCTTTCCTCTGCCAACATGGCGAAGCTGCGTGCCTTTGTGTCGGTGTTCGGGCCCGCAGCCTGTCACACACCTCTTTTTCTTTTTCAAGCCCTCTCCGTCTTCATCGCGCTGCCGTTATCAAGTCGCCGCCATGTTCGCCCAGAAACGGGGTTTGCAGGAAGCTGCGGCAAGTCAGCAGCAAACGAGCAACGGCATATCCGTGGTTGATCTCCAAAATAAAAGTCGAACGTCCAGCCTGATGAGTGCCGGTTAGCTTCATAAGCATTTGCTACTTCTCTTTTAATGAAGAGAGGAAATGCTTGCTGTGAGTATGTTGTGTTTTGTGATTTATTTTCAATACTATTTTGGTTAACAGAGAGCTCGTAGCTTCCTGCAGGTGGTGCTATTAATACCATTCTCTATGTAATGCAAATCTCTCTTCTTCTTGTTTACTGCCTCTCACAGTCTCTGAATTGTATAACTGCTACCTGTAGTGTTCATTTTAAACTGAAAAATGTTTTCTGCCAACAACAACCACACCACAAACACAACCAAAATTGAAGCAATACGGGAGAAAAAGAAAAGCTGGTAGATAATGAACCCCATCCTATTCGTCCGTCAGCCTCGTAAGAACAATTGATGGCAACTACTGCTTTATAATTTAATGGATTTTTAGTTTCCTGTTTAAACATACTGTCTCATTAAACACAATAAACACCAATCAAAAAGATTCATCTAAAAACAAAAATAATGGTAAAAATCGAACCCACGCGTCGAACCCACGCGTTTTATTTTGAAGATAACGTTGCCAGATATCCGTTTTCTCTGCTTTTGTCCTATTAACTTAACAAACATTACAGTTTCTGATACATTCTTCAGTTCGAAGGTATGCCAAGAGTGAGAGTCGGCAGAACTTTTGTTTTTTACATTAACGTTAAAAAATATGTAATCTTTTTGTTTTTGTATGGAGTTTTATGTATTATCATTACTTGATTTAAAAAAACTGACATAAAGCAAATAAATAGTACAGCAACTCGCCTTGAGACGTAGGAGTGTGTGATCTTATTGTGAAAGGTCCGAATTCTTCTCGACTTTGGACCGTTCATCAATCTGCAAACAAAGACCTGGTTTGCTCTGCTGGTTCTGTGGGTGACCAATATAGAGTGGGAGTTCATGGCATTAAATCTCACCCGATTTAAGACATTTAAAACATTTACAGAATATATTACAATCTTCAGAACCAGATTCAGGTTCAGGATTATACTGAAGTTAGGAATATAATGACTCCACCGTCAAACAAACAGTCATTTATCATTAGACCTTATCAAACAAGCTATAAATCTACTACATATCATGGATTTATTGTCAGAATAAGGATGGTATGACAGGGAAATATTTATGGATTCAATAAACAATGATCATTATAACTTGGTGTTACCAGTTTTGATTTACAGTAAATGTCCCCCTTTCAATAACAGAACCACTTCAAGACAAGGCTGAGACGCAGCTGCAGTAACTGTGACGTCACATGGCGAGTGGCTGCTGCTGAAGACTCCAGCAGTTTAGTGTGTCCTGACTCAGTGAAGACTACCTGCTTGTATCATCGGTGGGGTGAGGAGGAGGAGGAGGAGGAGGAAGAGGAGATCTCCAGAAAACTCCTGTTATTACTGTGAATGACAGCCGGATTATCGTGGACACTTGTGGATGTGAATTCTGTATGAATGAAGACTTTTAGATCACGCTGTGAAGGTCACAGAGAGGAAAGGTCTGAATGACATTGTCTGTAATCATTGTTTAGCTCCAGAATAAACTTGGTTCAGACTCCTCACTGATATGTATTGTTAGGTATAACAGACAAGGATCGGTTTTTGTTGCTCGGCAAAACAAACAAAGAAATCAGAAATACAGTTTCAAACGTGAAAGCCTCTGGTAATCACTCTCATTAATGTGTGTCTTTTTAGTACAGCTGTGAACAAAGTGTCCTCTGCTATAGTTAAACATTAAAACTTGATTCATACCAGAAGTTGACAGTTTCCTGTTTGTTGCCTGGCTTTGTTTCCATCCCATGGAGAAATAACTAAAAAAAATGCATTTGTGAAAATTCAGTGCATTTGTTTGTCTCTCGTTATGAAAGAATCTCAGGGTCTCTGCGTTAACCAGCCGGTTATATTTCTTTACACATGTATCTGTCCAGCCAGTGATCAAGCGTTCCAGCTTTGATGTGTTGTGCAGCTGCCAAATGGAGCCTGATTTCCTGTTGTTTGTGTGTGAATTTCTTCATGAATGGTGGGCTCTCTCCTGCAGCCACCAGCCTGTGTTTGGTCTCGACAGGAGCTCATTCATTTCAGCTGAGATTGTGCAGCTGCTGCTCGTCTATAGGGGCTGCTTTCAAACCATTTGTTTTCCACCCGTGTCCACTGTGCTCCTGTTCCCCGCTCCTGACCCGCTACGCCCAGTCTAATTAGACTGTTTATCCCATTAGGATGTTGTTTTCTGCAGCGTTAGCTTTCGGCAGCTGTTTGCGCCACTCAGGTATTTTTGAGTAGCTCTAATTAATGCCTGCCAGTTAAAGGCATCACCAGAAAATAGTCCAGAGTGGGCGATAGGTTACAGTTCACACGAGGAAGACAATTTCTCATCTCTAAAGCTTGTGGAACCTGTGGAATATTGGAATGGAAGATGGAAGATGCTGTGTAGCGTCAGGCATGGGAAATTACAGTAACTTTCAGAAGGAATATAAATAAGTAGGATAAAAGAGATAAATAGAATTAAAAATAGTTTCTAAAGTGGAAGAGTTCTCAACCCAAACACAAGGGGGGCTCTTCATGTGGTCAATAAAAGACATTTTTCTCTCTATATGATGAAGAACAGTTGGAAAATATATTCATGCGACATTAATGGACAGCTATGCCCAGGACACCAGGCAGCCAGCTGCACCCTGGGGCAGCAGTGATGAAGGTTATAACACATCAATAAGTCCCAGAGCACAGCACTGACATTTTTGAAGGCAGCAAAACATGGAGACATCTTTGTCACAAAGCCTTGAGCTGAACTAGTTCTGACGTCTCCCCCATGGTGTCTCCTCTCTCTCCTCACACTTATTTGAAGATAATGAACAATTAATTATGTAAAATGCTGTAAATTGAACACCATCAGTGCTGTAGAAAGACGGGAACCTACTGTTGAAGGACTGTTCCCACCCTTTTAAAAGGTGAAAATGAACTTTAATGCAGCAGGACCACAGACTCCATCATGACAGAGCTCAGGTCACAGCAACAAGACAGAGCAGCACTCAGCCTATCTCATGAATCACCGACTAAATATAGAGAAATCAGGAATACATCGCAAAGTAAACAACAGAATTTCAGAACAGTGATCCCCTCAGGTATTTTAGTGGGTCACATGACATGTATGGTGCAATGAGTTACCTATACATGGGGAGGCTCAGACAGGGTGGAGTGGGTGGAGCTGAGTGGGTGGTGTGGTGCAGTTGGGAGACCTGCTCTGCCATGGGCTTCTCTGTGGGAATGACCTGGATGGATGAGAGATGAGCAGATCAGAGGAACAGTGGAGGTTGAAGAGCTTAGAGATAAAATTATAACAAGGAGGTTCAGATGTGTTTGGACATGTGCTGAAATAAGGCAGTGAATATACTGGATGAAGATTACTGAGGATGTACTGTAGCTGCCAGGTAGAAAAAAAAGGAAGTCAAGGAGGAGATGGAGAGAAAGTTGATGTTACCACAGTGGGAAAAAAGTTACTGAGACAAATGCACTGATGCAGATACTCCTGAAGGACTGGCTTAGAGTTGAGGAGATCACAACAAAGTGCTGCGAAAAACAGACGCATATATATATTTGGTTTTAACAACCGGAAGAACATGGAGACCATGGATGTGATGGGACCTTGGTGAGAAGATTATAATAATGAACAGCATCAGTAATAACTGAGTTACCATTAGCCTAACCATTATTATTGAATTATTATAACCATTAATAATTGGGTGAGCATTAGATTAAATTGCTTACATGTTAGTTTAAATCCCAAAACCAGGAGATAACATCTGGTCTTCTTCTACAGTTCCTCTCAGGCTCCATGGACTGTTCACCTACACTACGTTCTCATGTTCTCTCATCAGGAGGTGATCTTCTTTCCATGTTGCATCACCACGTTGTCACCTGCCTCATGTGACAAGAAACAACTGATGTTCTCCTAGGTTTTTGGACAAACATATCAGGTTATGTAAATCACAACATGTAACTATATTACAAGATGTTACTGAATATATATATATATATATACTGCATATGTATATATTTATATGCTGTATATATTGTATATATATGTTCATTTAGTTTTCTGAAATGTAGTAATTACTAAAGTTGTCTTTATTGAAAACAATCCAAATTCCATTAGACATATCACCAAACACTTTGGATCCCACAGATAACTTAATTTGATTTGATTTTCCAACAGATCTGTATACTTTTGCGTAGACAGGAAGCAGTATTTTGTGCTCAAACATTAATGTATATACACTTTATTCTATAACTTCAATCTGTTCTATTTAACTCATATTAAGGTTCAGGTATTTATTTAAAATAATTAAAAAGTTAATACATGCATTGCAGTACAACCTGGTGATCAGACTACAAGGGCTGTCTTTGACGTTTGACTTAACAAATACGGCCATAAAATCCTGATTATTTATTCTGATACAGCCACATTCTGACAATACACCTAAAAACTCTAGACTTTAGTGAGTCAGTGCTAAAGTTGAATTCCTGAGAGACATATTTGTTCAAAACTAATAACAAGCCTCAACCATTCATTAAAAACCACAGATAAAAGTCACTCCATTTGTGTGACAGTCAGGCTAATGTATTGATAAGCTTTGATTAAAAAAACCTACATCATTAAAATAAAACCACAGTAGACTCTTTGTCTAACTTTAACTCAAGTTTCTCGGCTCTGGGGAAAACACTCAGAGCAATAATTTCATTATCCTGTCATTCTTATCCACAATTACAGCGTGGTAGCTGACATGAAATGTCCTGCAGGGTAAAAAAGGGAGACAGGCTGTGTTGTCCTGCTGTTAGCTGAACTACCTGTTATGAGAGTTGCATATCATTTTTAAACCAGTATACAGTGAGAAGTGGAGGGACTGTATAAGGCCAGCTGTCTGTAACAGAGGTTCCCAAAGTGTGGTTGGGGCCCCCTGCAGGGAAGGGCGCTCGGGAAGACCCGTGTTGACACAGCAAGGCTAATTGATTTTAAAAATAATCTAATATTTTTCCCACGGTGAGGAAAATGCCTTGATTTCATTGTTGCGTTCTATGGGAAAGGGTATTTCTGAATGATTTTAGTCTAAAATAAAGTTCAGTAGATTTTTGAAATAAATGCTACGTGAATGTGTTGAGTAGTAAAAGACTCTAACCTGGTGTGCCTGTTAACATAATCATAATTAGTTTAAAGCAGCAGCATCATAATCTAAACAATGTCATTTCACACTTTGTAACTAAACAGTTCTATCATCCAGTCCTGGTTATCAGCAGATTTACTTCAAACTAAGTAAATGTTATCATTGAGCAGATGTCCTGCTCTGATTGAATCTGTCACCCACGAGTCTCTTACAATCTTAAACTTCTTTGTGAATCGTCTCCTCACTGTCTTCAGCTCCTCCATCTTTGTTTCTTCAGTGATGATAACGTGTGAAACACCTTCCTCCAGTGTCGGCAGCACTGTGCCTCCATGGAAGCGAAACTCCAGAGCTCTGATGTCTAAACAGGAGGCGGGCATGAGCGTGTCAGGGTCTCCTAGGTCAGCGCAGCTGTCCATGTAAGCTGTGAAAGGTCTGAACATGCTAGTGGGGATGTTGTCCCAGCCAAAACGCTGCTCCACCTGACCAACGTCTATGGTGTCAGCAGCAGCAGCAGCAGGGATGCGGCCAAAGACCTCCTGCAGCTGCTGCACATCTGTGTCCACAAAGTAACTGTCGCCGTAGCTGTCGTACTCCTTGGCAAATTGTTCCCTGGTAGAGGGTGAGATGTGGATCATGTGCCGCGGTTGCCAGGGTACCACTTGTTTCTGGTCGAGACACTCCAACAGCCACCAGGCCCAAACTACATCGTGTTGGTCGGACAAAATCAGGTTCTTCACTCGCATGTTCTTGGCACCAGCGATCACACAGTAGGTGTCTGGTCCAGGGTTTTGAACCACAACTCCTCCACACCTGTCGACAACATCAGTAATTACTCATCACTGTAATACTATGTGTTTAATTTCAGCAATACATTTGAGTGACAGAGGTAGAA